TTGCGCATCCCTTCCAGAGAGCCGCCACTCCCAAGGGATTCTCCCGGGCAAGTAGTGAGCGTTGTGTGACTTCTCACCCCGGGGAGGCAGTCAGATTAGTCTAGTGCTCCACTGGGTACGAATTGGTCTGATAGACGAGGATGTGGCAGAGGCTTCAGGATTAGCACTATCAAGCTCGATGTGGCTCTCACTAACAGAAGTAGCACTAAGGGCCTGAAGTTTGGCCAACACAATCACGAGTCTCTGGTCCCTTTAGGGGACCATGTAAAATCTCATTTAAAATGTTAAACCGGTTACACTACGTGTTTAAATAGCTTCTGTTGTGGTGCGGGCCGGGGGCTGCTGGAGCAACACCCCGCCTGTGGCACAGTGAGCCAGGCAGGGAGGCTGTTCTAGTCTAGCTGGGCCCTTGTTAACCGGGAAGGGGGGTGCTTACCTTTCCATCCCTCCTTTAAAAAAAAAAATCGTGGAACCGTTAGAGACTTCCCTCAGTATTCCCTGAGCTGCTGCTGTAGCCAGGGGAGGAGATCTAGGTTTGCTTTGAGGAAGAAAAGGGGCAACTGTGGAAACTTTTTTTTTTTTTTTAACAGTAAAAGGGGCAACTGTGGAAACTTTTTTTTTAACAGCCCACACTATTGGGTGAGGAGGGGCGTGTCTAGCTTTCCCCAGACATTTGCCTGCATTATTCTAAAGCTGCCTCTGTACTGGTCTGTTTCAGAGCTACATGCTGTACGATTCACCAGAGCACATGCAGCTGTTCGACCTGATGAGAAGGATGTTAGAGTTTGACCCTGCCAGGAGGATCACATTCTCCGACGCTCTGCTGCATCCATTCTTTAGTGGCCTGTCTCCTGAGGAAAGGCTGCTGTGTAGTAGAGTCTCGAACCGTGACCTGAGCAGATGACAGAGGGGTGGGTGTGGGGATGCCTGCTGCATTTGAACGTACTCCTGGATCAGTCTGACCTCTGCTGTAGCGGCTCCAAGCAGCCCTCCTGTAGCATGGAGTTCAGAGGTACTGGTGCAATGTGATATGGACCCTGGGCATGGGAGGAGGGGCGGGGGGAGGAGAAAGCTACACGGAAAGCACAGATGTCTCATATTTATATGTTGTAAAGTTAAAATAAAGTGTTTCTTATTGTTTGATAATTTACTTGTATAAATGTGTCCAGCTATTCCTTTTTTTCCTCCCACCCTGCCAGATTTTTCTGTTAAATAATAAAGAGTGGTTTTATATTTCTCCACAAAACTGCATCATTCTGAGTGAGATGTTACAGCTTTTCTGGCTCAGGCAATCTTTTGTTTCTAAGCATGGACTGGACTAACTTTGCTTTCTCTTCCCCATTCGCTAGTGTGCAGCAGCTTGGAGGGGAGAGGTACTGCCCTGTAAATCTCCATGTCTGGCTGTGGGCTGATAGTGTTTGTGGTGTGCTAGTGTGGTTAAATAATTGCCAGGGAAATGTAAATACCTTTCCAGAACAATTGAAGGTGCATGTATTGTTCCTGGGTGGAGTCTGCCGCACCGTACCTGTTATACCCAGGACAGTAACTAGTACAATGTACGCCCCATATACATAACTCACTTAAGGCACATGAAGAGTTGCACTTTATTTCAGGCTGGAATTGCCCCAGCGGCTGCATAAAATCATTACAAACACTGTGTCTGTGATTGAAGCAGTGACTTGATGACACAGTTGTGGTGCAGTTGTCTTTATGCTGCCTCTGAAAAAGAAGGGGCCTGTTTCCTTAGGCCAAGCTGTGAGGGAATGAGGCTTTTGAGATTACTGCTGAGCAGTGAAAGTTGAGCATCTGCTTTTCCTGGGCCTAGACAGTCAGCTCCTGTGTATTTGCTACAGAGTCCTTGCATGCTGGGGGAAATGTTCCCATCTTAATGAAGCACTCTGACAAATCGGGTGGGGGAGGCTGTGTTCCTTTCTGCTGCCCCCAGCATAAGGCATACATTTCAGTAGCTGTGACAAAGAGGCAAGAATCACATGGGTGTGCAGCCAGCTGCAGCTGGTCTAGAAGGCCAGTGATTTCATTCCTCTGGCAAGAATACAACTCTGCTTGTCAGAAGTAAAGCAAGTGCCCGTACCCCTGTTCTCTAGAAAGGAGAATTAACATATGAACATGTGTTACCCAAGCACCTTATTGCACTTGAGGTGTTATGCTAGAATGTCAGGGCCTATGCACTTAATTAAAATCCCATCCTTTCCTCTGCTGCATCCAGTGTCCATGGCAACAGGACCACTGACCACTTTAATTATTTAAAAACACCACTTAAGAGGCCCTCCCAGCTGTATCAGAAGGGGGAAGCAGGAATTATCTTAAGAAAAAAAAAATACAAAGTGCTTCTTAAGGATGTTAAAATGCAGTTTTTTGGTAAAGCTGTAACTGCAGGGGGGCTGGCTCTCCCCACGCTGCTGTCTCACTATGAGCACTAACTCCCTCTGGCCAGCCGCATATCCAAGGCGGGCGGGAAGGTAGCTCGGAAGCAGGTTCCTTGCATGTTTCGGCTCCCACCTGCCCCTGGGACAAGGAGGCAGCAGAAGAGGGGGTGTGGAGGGGCTTGCACACATTTAAACCATGAAGGTTATCACATCCCTGTGCTGCTTAGGTCTTCCAAACTTACCCTCTGTTCACACAAGACAGAGCTGAACAACCACCCTTCATGCTGGACAAGTTCAAGCAGCATGTAAAGTAATACAGGACTGGAGCCAAACAGCAGGCTACTTCCTTACAGTGGCTAGGAGAGTCCGCTCTGCTTTGCTAAAGGAGGGTGTCACAGCAATTAGAGGGCCAGCTCTAGTACTGCCACAGGACTAGTCTTTTCCCCCTTTACCAGTAGCTAGAAAGAGCTGCAGAACGCTGCTCTGCAGGAGAGAGGCAGAGGAAAAACCCTGGGTTGTGCTTAGACAACCCCTCACGCTGCTGTCACTAGACACCAGTGCATTAAGCTGAAGCGAGTGTTTTACCCAAGGCGTAGGTGCTCCAAGCCTGGCAGAGAAACACATGGTAGCAGAGAGTTCAGGCATTGCTCATCTGTTAGCACTAAGGCCACGAAGCACACCCCAGTGGATCCAGTTCAGTAGTCTCACCCTCATGAGGTAGATGAGTTCTGTGCAGTTTGGCAGGGGATGTCCTTTAACAAGACCTTATGCCGCACCGTCCTGGCTGTGCTGCCTAGATACCAAGTGGTCCCAGGCTATAAGAGCAGGGCTATTTCCAAAGCCCCTCCCCCCATTCCTACACCGCAGGGTATGAAACAGCTGCTTGGCGCCTCGCCAGGCTACATTCAACAGTGCTCCCCAGATTAGGTTGGGGCACTACTCAGATACATTCCTTGTGAGACAGGAAGTCTCTGCCCAGCCTCCCTCTTACCTTGCTCCGTGCACCCAGCCGTTGTTCCGAACAGCAACTCTGTGCGGCACGGGGACAGGACTCGGTTTTTCAAATACAAATGCCCAACTTAGAATTCGTATCCTCCTGGAATGGGCTGCTCTGCACACAACTGCTGAAGAGCTAAGCAGTAGCTACAACTGCTTAACTCAGAATAGCTGCTCGACTTCAGCAAGAGATCAACCTGCCCTAGGAAAGGCACCAAACAGAAGCCTTGAAGTGAGTCAATACCAGCCCAGACCTCCCAGGGACTCCCTGAAGGGCGAACGTTAAGCACGGCCAATGCTCACAGCAAAATTCAAAAAGCAGCAAAGGAAATTGTTTGTTTTGCTAGAACAGGACTCAAGGATGCTCCAGGAACTGTGGAAGGCTCAATCTCTCAGGACGAGCCCTGGTTCGGTCCAGGATTAATATTTCTCCTCATAGCCAGTAGTAATTTGGCACTTTTAGCAACATCAACAGGTCCAGCGTGATTAAGAGCCAGCCAAGAAAGAAGAGATTTGACAAACCCTTTCGGCAGTGCACTGAATACAATTACTTTCCTGGCAGCATTTAAGGGGAGGAAATCCGCAGCCCCAAACTAGCGAGGCAAGTAAAGAAGGTGACACTCCCTCCAGTAATTCAGGTCAGACCTTTGACCCTCCCCCACGTGTGATGTAGCTGGAAAGATCAAAGCTGCCTGAAAGCCACATGGTACAACAGTGACCACGGGGGATGCCTGGACCACAAGGGACAAGGTTTCAGCGCGTGCAGGAGCAACACTGCGAATGCGCAATGAACTGTTGCTGCAGCTCTGCCCGGGGGCTGGACGTCTAGTCGTGTACGCTGAGCGGCGAAGCAGGCCCAGAGGAAGACTCCACAAGTCTCCCAGCGCGCCGCACACGCCTGCTCTCAGGCTCTCCGCATACCAAGACAAACAGCATCGGACTCGTCTTTACAGGCTGCACAGCCAGGTGCCGGATGATTTCCGCTGCCTCCACTGGGATGCAGGGGAACAGGGCAGCAGCACAAAGCTCTGGGGGAGGCTGCCTCCCCCAAAGGGAATGGAACGTTGCCCTGCTGCACAAGTGCAGGGTGCATGGGGAGGGGCAGTGGTAGCACTATGGCACAGCAGGCATGGAGGGGCTACACTAATGTAGCCAACCCCTCCCTGTGCTGAACACGAGGGATTAACCAAAGGGGGTTCATTGTTCCCCTTCTCCAGACCACTGAGGATACTCAGCTCCCTGGAGAAATAACAACCCACCCGAGGAAAGCGCCTTCCCCAAAGCGCTGGTTGGTGGACACTTCACTCCCCTAACGTTTCCCAGACCTGGGCAGCGTTCACCCACAAGCAGTCAGGGGCCGGACGCTTTACGCCCGCCCTCTCCCTAGGGAGCTCCAGCACAAGGAGACTTGACTCCAATGGCTCTCGAACAAAATCAAAACGGCAGACACCTCTACATGATCCCGGGGGGGCGCTGCTCCCGAAAGGGCCCCTTGATAGGCCAAGTTCCCCCCTTCCCAAGAAGTATTAAAAAACCAGCTTCATCTCCTAACCTCCAAACTGACAGTCACTTGCATCTGTAAATAAGCCCCCTCTTAACCCACCCTCGGGCTGGTGCCTAGGTGCTGCCTTCCCCGGTGTTAGGCACAAGCGAGAGCCTCCTGCGGTAACAGGTACTCCCTTCACTTTTACAGTTTTCATACGCAACTTTCTTCTGGAAGAAACAAACCCCAGAACTTCACATCCTTAAGGCGTCAAGAGTTTACTTGTCAAGATCCTTTACACAGCGTGCTCGGCAGGACTCCGCCCCATCTCCCCCTGCAGGGCCGATGCACTGCAGGCTGCTCTATGTGGAGTGCAACGGGATGACGAATTTGCAGCCAAAGGGCGAGTGGTAGTTAATC